TAACTATATGACTCTCAGCCCACAAGACCGCTACCAGTGCCAAGTTATTTCCTTCGGGCCAAGGAAGGGTATGCTAATGAACAGGGGTGCCGTGGGGTGGCTTTGGGGAAGCTAAAAGGGGACTGGGGTCCTCCTGGCCTTGAGCCCCAGCTCAGGTTCAGCACTGGAGGTAGGATCTTAGCTCTTAGCTGATCCATCAGAGCTTCCCCTCAGAGTAGGCCATGGGAGAAGGAGATTCCTTGTCCAGCTTCCCGGCTCACTTGGGCTTCAGACGCCAGCAGCTGGGGTGCAGAGCCACCCAGGTGGCCAAGTGAGACTGGCTGACTGAGACTAACTTAACAGCTGGACCCCAGATAGCAGGCAGAGGCAGTTGGACCATGGAGCTGGGCTGTGAGACTGCAGACTTGGGGGTGGGGCATGGGGGGCAGTCCCACATCTGGGCAAGGGACTTGGGTCCAGAGTTGCTGGAATGCTGAGCCCTGTAGGCCCAGCCCTCCAACCAGGTTGTTCATTTGCTGGATCTCAAGAGGGTCTCAGATGGGACCCATGTGCTACCGTTTGTCCTCAGTCACATCTCCCCTGAGAGCAGCTCAACCCAGGCCCTAGCTCTTCTTTCCTGAAATGTTCCATCCTGACTCCTTCTCAGCAACTGGGCTTCTGCCTGCCTGTGTGAGGCTTGCAACTCCCATTACCTAACTTTGTACACCCTTGCCCTCCTCAGAACCAAACCCTGAACCCCCAGCCTGCTCTGAAAGGGCACAGGTCTTCTGGGACTGTCATTTTTCCCAGGCCCTCTTGCTGCTTGGACCTAGCACACCCAGGATCTGAGCTAGGGAGAAGCACATGCCACCAGCCCCAATGGGAGCCAGGGAAGACCAGTGGCAGGAGCCACACAGTACCCATCCCTATAAGGCAGTGAAGTAGCCAAAGGCAAGGAAGGGCACATCCCACTCTAGGGTCTGAGCATCCACAGGAGTAATTCTGAGGGGCCACTGTAGGAAGGTGACTTGCAACACTGTCCTCATCCTGAGTCACCTTCCCAGTCCACAGCCCCCAGGACCTTGGTCCCTGAGGGACCACCAGTACCATGACCGAGCCACAATTTCCCTCAGCACATGTTCAGTGCCTGGGAATGCCAGGTGGAGTCCCCAGCATTCCATGATCACAGTGAGGCAGGTACATTACAAACCAGGAACCCAGGTGCAGCAGACACCCACTGGGCCAGCAATGGTAAAGCCAGATCCCAAATACAGAAAAAAAGGCCCTCAGTCACCCTGCTCCATCCCCAGCTGTGAAAGGAACCTGGAGGAAGACCAGGCCATGCTACCCTACCACCCTGTCCACCTGACTTCTGGCTTGGTCCAGCTGTTCCCACCCCTTACCAGTCAGAGTCAGCTTGGTGGGTTTTGTTGGGTTTTTTTTTTCAGTTTTGGAGACAAGGTTTCATGTAAGCCAGGCTGATCTTGAACTTCCTATGTAACTGGGCCTGAGGCTGGTCTTTAACTCCTGATCCTTCAGTATCTACCTCCCAAATGCTAGGATTACAGGCAAGTACCACCATTCCCTAATTTTTTTGGGGGGGCGGGGTTAAGACAGGGTCTCCCTGAAGCCCCAGCTACCCTAGAATTCACTCTGTAGACCAGGCTGGCCTCAGTCTCACTGAGCTCTGCCAGTGTCTGCCTCCGAAGTGCTGGGATTGATGGAATGTGGCACCATGCCTGGCAGACTTTGATGTCTTTTAAAGACTTTATTTTTATGTTGTGCATGACTGTTTCGCCTACATGTATGTATGTGTGCCATATAAGCACAATGCCTACTGAGTCCAGAAGAGGGCATCAGATCTTCTGGAACTGGAGTTGCAGACTGCTGTGAGCTACCATTGGGTTGTGGGAAGTCCTCTGGAAGCTGAGCCATCCCTCCAGCCCAGATTTGGATTTCTTTTAAAGGTAAAACTCAAGTGGCATAGACCTAAACCTTCAAAGCGTCACAAAGCCATGACATTTAGTACATTTTCAATGTGTATGGCCATCAACACAGTTAGTTTCAGAGCATTTTTACAACCCCAAAGATAAACTGCATGCCCATTAGCAGCCACTCCCTAAATCCCTAATCCTCCCTATCCCCTGGCAGCCACTGGTGTGCCTTCTGTCTCTGTGGGTTCACCAACCTGGGCATTTATGTCAGTGGAATCTGTGTGCTGTGTCTGGGTTATTTCACTTGGTATAGTGTTTTTAATACAGTACCATAAGTCAGAATTTTCTCTCTCTCTTTTTTTTTTTTTTTTGTCTTTTTGAGACAGGGTCTCCCTGTAGCCCCAGCTGACCTGAACTCACTACCTAGAACAGGCTGGCCTTGAACTCACAAAGATCCACCTGCCTCTGCCTCCCGAGTGCTGGGATTAAAGTCATGCGCCACCACGCCCGGCCTCAGAATTTTCTTTTTATGACTGAAAATATCCTATTATAGAAATAAGTCATGCTGGCAGACTTTTAAGTGGTTTCCACCCTTTAGCCATTGTGAGCTGTGCTGCTATGAACATGTGTGTGCTAACTTTTGTTTGAACACCTGTTTCCAATTCTTTTAGTTCTATACCTAGGAGTGGAATTGTGGGGTCAGATGGTGATGTTATGTTTGACTTACCGAGGACTCACTAAATTGTTTTCTGTGGCAGCTGCACCACTGTATGTCCCCTCAGCAGTGCACAAGCACTCTGATTTCTCTGCGTCCTCACCAACACTTATTTTGCATGTTTTTGTTCGTATCCACCCAAGGTGACGTGAAGCGGTATCTGGCCCAATGCTGGTGAATCTTCCATACACTCCTCAAAGCTAAAGTGACTTCTAGTCTTGGGGCAAGTGGCCTGAAAACAGCAGCTCAGTACCCAGTGGCTTGAAGGACCTGATTTCTGGTGAGACTTGCCCAAACTTAGGGTGCTAAAAACTCTGGAGCAGAGAACAGAGATGGGGGACAGAGCTGGCCTGTCTAAGGAGGACAGGGGTGTGTGCAGGGCCCACAGCAGGGACTTTAGAAGATAGCAGAAGGGGACGAGACCTAAGAATCAGGGCAGAGAAGTTCAGGGTAGTTTGGATTGGCACCCCTTCTTGTTTCTGTTAAGAATATAATAAACCGGCCGGGCGTGGTGATGCACACTTTAATCCCAGCACTCAGGCAGATCTCTGTGAGTTTGAGGCCAGCCTGGTGTCCTGTATCAAAAAGAGGAAAGAAAGAAAGAAAGAAAACAAGAAAGAAAGAAAGAAAGAGAGAGAGAGAGAGGAAGAAACCAAAGCACAAACTTCCATGTGCAGGTTAAATCACACTACAGCAAAGACCACAGAATAGAATATGCATGTTTCTCTCCTGTCCTGGCAATCATAACCAACACCCTGTTGAGCACTTTCATGCATGGCTCCTGTAATCCCACAACCCTAAGGTCACTGCTTGACTTTACAGAAGAGGAAACAGAGGCACAGAGAGAGAGGTCACAGGCCTTGCCTAAGATCTCCCCACCAGGAAATGGCTCAGGGCCAGGACAGTATGCAGCATGGCCCTGGGAACCCATGCCACCCAGCTGGAAGTTAGCATTTCTCTGCTGAAACTTAGAATAACAGGCTCCCAGAGTGAAAGATTCCTAGTTAGCGCAGGTTCCTGCCCAATGCTGAAATCCACCCTGGGTCAGCCTTGGCTGCTGGTAAGGAGTTGACAGGACACTCAGGGTGGTGAAGCTACTGCCCCTGGCCAGTCCCAAGCAAGGCCTTTGAACTGATTCAACACCAGTGGGACAGTACATGTGGGTTTCTGAATGGGCAGAGCTTGGTGTGTATCTTGCCTTTTTGCTTCTCTGAACTCAGTTCCCATTAGGAAATGGGGAAAGCGTACATCTGCACCAGGTGCCTCTAAGCGGACCTGTGTGCTCCTCCCTTCCTTGAGTGTACCCAGCACAGATGACAGATGACGTCCTTTGCAGTTTACCCTCCTCTTCCACCTTCACTGTATTTTGGGAGAGTTGGCCTGCTCTATGTGAAGGTGTCCGGAACTTGCTTCCTCCGGTTCATCACCCAGCCTGGGGACCAGCAGAAGGACAGTCAGGCAGCTCAGCTGCATCCTTCCTGGCTGAGGCCTAGGTCTCCTGCCCAGGAGGTGCAGCAGGTACCCGCTACAAGAGGCAGACTCCTCCTGACCCGAACTAAAAAAGTGTGCTGCCCAAGGTCTGGACCCTTGTCCTGAAAGGCAGGTGTTTCCTGTCTCTAGGAAAAGACTACCAGACTCCAGGGGGCGGGTAAAGACACATGTGAGCATCACTGTGGTGTTCCTAGGGTGAATATATGTTTTGGTTTGTTTTGTTGGGCCACTAGTACTACTGTCGCCGGTCCTGTTCCTATTACTGATTGATTGATTTACAAGTAAGACTATCACTATGCAGCCCTGGCTGGCCTTTACCACTTGCAGCAATCTCCCCCGCCCCTACTTTCCCTGGCTCCCGGGGGAATTTCATTGTCCCTGGTCATCTGAGCTTTGTGATGTGGAGGGGAGGTGGGCACTTTAGGTGGTGTGATCAGGCAGATGCTGTAAGAGTTGCAAGGAGGTTACCAAGCCTGCAGCTTTTATGAGCCTCAGCCCCCTCCTCCCAACGGCGGCTTGGCAGAGAGAGGTTCTTAGGGTTCCTCTGCGTGGGGTGCGGCTACAAGGGACCTCACACTCAGACCTACGAAACCTGCTAAGGCGCAGCACCACCTCTGACCTAAATGCGTCTGAACATCTCCCGGCTCTGGCATGGGGCACGGAGACTCTGCCCGCGCACTAGGCTCACGTGCCGGGTCCTTCCTGCAGGTCACCCCTGGAGAGGGGGTCTTGCGCCACACCTGTCCACTTCTCGTTGAGGACCCCTACACCGCTACTGCCGGCGCCTCTGCGCGGAGCCGTGTGTCCGCCGCCGCTTTGATCCCAGGGGCCCCGCTGGATAAAAGTCCCGGGCGGCTCTGCGCCAGCGCCAGAGAGGGAGCGCAGCGCAGCCAGGCGCACCAGCGGGGCAGCGCTGCTGGCGACGGGGACCTACGGTGAGCACAGGGCTGGGGCAGCGCCGAGCCTGCGGAGTAGGGACGAGCGCGAGTCTCCCACCCGTGCCCCGGGCGCGGGCGCCGGCGGGGAGGCCGCGGCGGCCCCAGGTGAACGCGCACGCCTTGCGCCCCGGCCCCGTCGGGCT